GATAATCAAAAAACAATCCAAACATGGTCGGGGGACTATTTTTTTAGTACGTTTTTTGACCTTTTTGGGGCATTTTGGGTTTATCTTTGTTTTTCGTTGAAAATCTCCCTGTACAGTCGAGGCGTTGACCTAAGGAACCCAAAATAAGGAACGAGGCCCCTTTTTCCCATAAGTTAAACTTCGATTTCCCATCGACACCCTAAGCAAAACCAAAGGCGAACTGCAAAACAACTGAGGAACACCGAGCCCCTCCCCAACGAAAAGGGTTCCTTCTTCAGGGCCCCGACTGTATTTGGGGGGCCTTGTTTTCTTTTTCGTCGAACATCCCCCTGCAGGGGGACACGCCCGACGCAACACTTGACTACCTACCAGACCACCCCAACCCAACCCGAAGACCCGAATTTCGGGTTGGGGGGGGTATGGGCTCCATACGTGTTTTTTCGATGTTCCCGGACCCCCCTCCACTAGAAATCGAGGGCAAATCTGAGCCTTCGGGTTGGGTTGGGGTGGTTTGGTGGGTGGTAAACACCAGCCCGGGCCGCCTGCACGGCCCGGGGGCAGCTCCTGGATGGGGCGCGCCGCGGGCGGCGGCCTCCGGAGCGACCCACGCCGCGCCCCGCGGGCGGGGCCGCGCGCGGCTCCGCTGCGCGGGGCGCGCCTGCACGGGGCGCGCCTGCACGGCCGGGGGCAGCTCCTGGATAGGGCGCGCCGCGGGCGGCGGCCTCCGGAGCGACCCACGCCGCGCCCCGCGGGCGGGGCCGCGCGCCGCTCTTCGCGGCGCGGGGGGCGATGGGGGGCGGGAGCCGCTCGCTCGAGGCGCTGCTGCTTCGGGGGGGCCCTGGGAAAACGACGCGAAGATCGGGACCCTCCAAGACAAGCCATTTCAGACCCCCCCCCGTGGGAGAACCCTCCAAAACATCGTCCCCAGACCCCCCCAGGCCCTCCAAGATAGCCCGGAAGAGACTCCCCCCCGAAATGAGACCCCCTCCCTTTTATTACGAAATCTGGAATGCAAAAAACGACGCGAAGATCGGGACGCAATCGGATCGGGAGAACTCGAAATCTCTGAGAATCGGCGGGTTTGGAGGACGTGTTGGGCGCCGCTCCACCGCTCCAGAGCGTTCCGGAACGCTCTGAGAGCGCTCCGGAACGCTCTGGTACACCGTGAGAAATGCTCAGGAGATCATGGGTTTAAGAAATTCACAGCCTCAGGATTTGCACAAGAACCCAGAATCTCGATCAACAACTTAGGATTTACATCGAAACATGAAGAATCGTCGAGACTCTGGCCGAAAACTTGAGTTTTCTCTAAAGCATCGCCTAGGGTGTGTGGGCCGCGGAGGGCGCGCCGCACCGCAGCGCGGTGCGGGCCAGAACGGGCGGAGCGACACGGCGGAGCCAGAGTTCCGGACCTTAGAGCTGCCCCGAGACGCAGCACGCAGCACGCAAACGCGTATCGTACTGATACGGAGCTCAGCACGTAGACTGAAATCGCAGGTCCGACGCGATACTATTCGCCAAAACGTGGGCCAATAGGGCAATACGTTGCGCCAACACGCAACGTATCGACACGTACGTTTCGAGCACGGCGCGTGTTGCGTATCAACACGGGCGTGTCAAGGCAGCTAAGTTCCTGACCGTACCAGGGCAGGCAGAGGGGGGCGCACCCACTGAGGCAACGGAGGACTTGCCTGGCTGCGGGGGGCGGGGCGCAGCCGTGGCACCCCCGCGGAGGCAGCCGGCGATGTTGTGGATCGCGGGGCGCCTGACATAACCAAGTTACACTTTGGACGCCCGAAATGGGCACGGAAAGAATGGGTCCAATGCCCAACAACAAATGTTGTCCCAAACCAACAGCGGCCGCTGTTGGGCAGGCGGCCTTCTGTCTCGAATGGACACAGGCCGCGGCGGCGTGGACGGCGAATCCTGTTCAAAATGAGCAGGAACTGCTGTTGGGCATTGTACCCATTTTTTCGGTACCCATTTCGGGCGTCCAGATACACCAAAGCCCATGGTGAGACCCGTGGCCCAACCAACGGGCAACAACAGACGATGTGGTGGCCCAGCGCAACCGATGGCACACCCGCTGCGACCGAGGACCCTCTAGTGAACCATGGGGGGGTCTGGTGCACCACATTGCAGATGCTGCTTATGGCCTTCCGACGGGGTGACGTTGACCAGCAAAGAGTATTCTGGTAGTTGACACCCTACGCAGCACAGTGGCATAGCGTGAACTCGCTCATCGTCCTGTTCGTCATCTTCCTGTAACTACTGCTCTTCCTCAAGGTCCCACTGCTTGCTGCTCTGGCTCCTCCTCCTTGTATTCCTCCGTTTCCTCCTCTTCCTCTCCCTCTTCCTCTTCCTCTCTTTCCTCTTCCTCTTTCTCTGGCTTCGGCTTCAGCTGCGGGGGCATCGTGAAGCGCCTTCGGGGCAACTCACCCGAGCCAGATTTTCCGCTCGCACGGGTGCCCCCCCCCCTCCCACAATCTCCCCTGAGCCGCCCAAATCCTGCTTGTATGGAAATGCTGGGGGAATCCGAGGAAGCTTGCTCTGGACTCGCGCGGTTGGCTACCTCGCTGACCGATGCCCCACATCACTGTTCCTTCTTGTGATTGACAAACACTCCCTCCCCCATCCGACCGGCGACCAACCCGCGTCATTGAGGGCCCCCCCCGCCATTCCTGCCAACAAGACGATGCACAGTGCACACTGCGGCAGACTCTGCACCGTGCGCGGGCGCCCCGTGAGCACTCTGCGTTGGATGTTTGGCAGGGACGGCGGCCCTCGAAATGCCCGCACTGCGCAGACCAACCATCGCAGTCAACACAGGGTGGCGCAAACCACACTGAGTGGCAAACGCTGGCTCATGCGCGGGCGCCTCACGACTATGATATGCTCCGCCCCGCGATCATGTTGCCCGGCGGGGGCTTGACCTCATTTGGGCTGCTCGGTGCAGGCTCGCGGTCCCTGACAAAACAACATGTACGTTGCGGCAAAATCTGGATCATGCGCAGGCGGCCCGCGATTACTTTGCATCGGTGTTTGGAAGGGACGGCGGGGGTGCCCTCATATTTTCTACTATGTGCTTTCGATGGGACTCATGAACTCTTTGGTAAGTATCGGGGCCCAAAGCTCGGATGCTGCCTATGTGTTGGCAGGGCGGGTGGGAGTGAGCGACACGGCTTGCGGCTTGGGGTAGCTTGACTCCCGCCCCCACTGTTTTTCCATGCAGCCCATCCTGCCCACTTCCCACTTCACCCTCCCATGAACTCCAAGCCCCTCTGCTCCAATATCCGACAGGGAAGTGGTTCTCGCAGCACTTCCCGAGGTTCGGGTCAGGCTAGCACAATGAGCCTGTACAGCCGGCGAATCTCACCACTCCTTCTATCGTTAGGTCAGCCGTGTCCTCCTACAAGCAGATTTAAAAAGAAAGCGGAATATAGTCAAACAATAATAGAAAAGAGTCTAACATAGTGGAAAAGTCGTCCCCGTATTATTTTCTTACTATTTCTGAATACCCCCCTGTAGAGGGACATGCCCGAATTAATTCTATCAGGCCACGAAGGCCCACCGTCCCCCGTGGCCGAAGCAGCGGGGCAGCGCGACGGGAAGCGCTGCGCGATGGGCTTCCAACGGCCACTTGCAGCTCAAGTATATCCAACAGGAGTCCTTGGGAATGCACCTTTTCAGAGCCGCGTGCTGGACGACTCTCGAGGAATGGCGGGGGGGGGGGCGTCTGAGCCACTCCAGTACTCGACCTTAGCTGGGCACTCGGCTAACATTGGCCAACTCGGCGCTGCCGAAGTCAGCTCCAAACCCAGCATCGGTTCATAAAACGTCTCTTCATGTGCTGCCCTCCCTGGGCCACAGGTGCCGGCCCGGAAGGTGTTGGGCCCACAACTTTTCCACCAGATGCGGGCCTGCAACGATGTCTGCACGTGTGTGACCGCTCGCGTACTTGAGATTGACCAGACGCACGCGAGGAGGGCAAGAGATCTTGCCGAACGACTCCAATGAGATGCCCTTATCTCAGGAACCAAGGTGGGAAAAGGTGCTGTCGCCTGTCGAACGGAGGGTCTGTGTTGCCGCCTGTCGACAGGAAGGTCTGCTCCTGCAGGGCCACAGGACGACGTGCGGTGCATGGTGGAACGTCTCCCGGAAAAGCATTTTCGAAGACAGTTTGTCCGGACGGGACGCCGGTTTCCTACAAATAACCACGGCGCTACTCTGCAACGGTTGATTCTGAAGTCTGCGTATCTAGCCCATCCCCGTGCGCACCAGGAAGATGGAGTAGGAAGCGCACGACCACCACAAGATCTCGGCCCAGTGCTGCCCCATGCTGACCTCGCTTGCCATTGCTTCACTCTGCGAGCTCTACGAGCTTACAGTCACGTCAGCAAGCTAGCTCTCATGGGACACCTATTGCACTGTGCCCCCCCGCTCTGGCCGGTCCGTCGAACGTGCTTTCGTCAGAATGTGCAATGGGACAATGATCCAAAACCACGCGCGCTTTACCTGTGCAGCCGCAAAGAACTCCGCCCGCGCACCCGTGTCTGCGCTGCAACAGGCAAAGCATGTCTCTTGCGTCCCCAGGCCCCTGAGATTTCGCTCTGCGACCCGAAACCAACCATTGCTGAGCCACTCTCCATGGCACACGTACTCGTACCGCAAGCGCTCAGAATGAACACTGGATCCAAATATTCCAGCGGTCTGATTCTTCTAGCTGTGGCCCTGCCAGAACGATTCATGCGAATGCACGGGCAGCCCTCCAGATCTAGGGCTCCCCATCGACCGCCCCGATCCCTTCCAGCCCGACACATGGTCAACTAGTGTTTCACATCTATGCGGCGACGTCGCTGCTTCCCGGCTCATGGTGGTTCAAATCCGCGTGGGTATGTTCGCTTGTGCATCGGCAGTGTGCGTGCTAGATTAAACTATACATGTGTATACCCATGAAAACATTTACATATGTGTATATGCATGTGAATATCTGTATATGTCTCGACAATAAGGAGGTACCAGTGCGCAAATGCACGAACAGCTAGTGTGCAACATGATGCGGGCATCTGAACAGCACTTAGAGAAAGACACAAGCCTTCCCTCCATGGCACGATTCTCAATATCACCATTACTGCTCCATGGAGAGAATGTGGATGCACGCGGGTCAGCAGCAGGACTAGCAACCGTGCCAAATTACGAAGAACATTGCAACTTGTTGTGGAGAGAGGAGAGGTACAAAATGAGGCGGTGGGATACAGGCGGTTGAAAGAAGGGTGAAGGACGGGTGGAGCACAGGGTAAGAGCGGAGGTATAAGCGAAAGGTGAGGCCTTCGACTTGAAATGAGAGACTGCATACAACCATCATTCCCTCACCCGTGGACCACATCAGGCGCGTAGATGTATAACATAGCAGCCGCCTTTGGGCATGACATTCTCAACATAAGGCACGACTGCCCGGGAACTGCCAGGGAACATCCATTCAAGTATAGCACTTGGAGTGGCCAAGAGCTTGACATGATTGGCAATTCAACATGCGTCAACTGATACATTCGTGTCCAGTTCCACAATGAGGCACGTCTTTGTATAGCATCGGCTGGTGTATTGACGCACTACCGCTTCTTATGCCGAGGAGACGTACTGGCCACCATGAAGTGATCAGACAATGTGGCGTGCCAGAGACCGCGGCTCAAATGTCGAACGACTTTCCATCCTGGACGCCCCGCACGGGAGGAGCAGCGGCAACAGCAGCGGCGCGGCGGCGAGCCCAAGGGGGGAAGTGAGAAGGGGGAAGGGGCGGGCCTTCTCACAAGGCTCGGAAGCCCATGGCCTCTTGAGAAGTGTTCTAAGCCCTCCCCCAAAACACAGGGAAAGCCGGAGGCCTTCTGAGAAGCCACGTCGCCTTCTGAGAAGGCATCCTCCTTCTCGCCTCCCCCCCTCGCCCGCCGCCGAGCGGCAGCGGCAGCAGCGCCGGCAGCAGCGGCACGCGCCCCTGGGGACAGCAGGCGCGGCTCAGGTCGGGCATGTCCTCCTCCAGGCGGACTCTGGAAGAGAGCTGAGAGGAGCCAAGCCATGAGCAGCACATCACCAACAAAGGATAGAACCATCGCCCCCAGGCTAATGCTTGCAGTGCTTCTGAACGCTCCTCCTTCCGTGGAGGGGCGCGCCCGACTGGACCATCCCCAGCACGCGCGCGCGCCGCGCAGCCCCCGGTGGGCGTCGGCCGCCCGCGTGGACGCCACGCAGAAGACCGCCATCGCCACGGCGTTGACGCGGAACCTCCACCCCGAGGGCGTGGTCTCCTGCCCGCGCAGCGGCTCCGCTGCAGACTCGGTGGAGGAGGCCAGGGCACCCAGTCGGCGTCGACTGGCGAGGGCACGCGAGAGGCCAGAAGGCCCTTCCCAGGGTGAAGTCGGGCCTGTCCCCCTACAGGCCGATCTGAATAAGCGAAAAATTGGAATAGTCAAAAAATACCCTAAAATACTCAGAGATGGTCAGAAAATCGTCCCCTTGCTATTTTTGGGGGCTATTTTTGAATATTCCTCCTGTAGAGGGACAGGCCCGACTTAATCCAAGGGCCACAGTGCCACAGGAATGGAGGAGGCATGGGTCGCGAAACACGGGGCACCAGGGTACCCTGGATTTGGCGGGGTCGACCTAATAATCAAATCAACCTCGCCTGCAGGATAGTCCAAGGCAGGGTAGAGAATCGGCTCACGTGGCCGGGTTCCCTGGCGCCTCCTGGCGCTGGGAGGCGCCCACGTCTCGAGGACTGGGCCTGGCGGCGGGGCGGAAATCAGCAGCACGCAGCAGAATTTGTACTTGAGTAGTTGAAACAATTGGTTTTCAAAATGTTTGGTCTTTGGAAGCTCTGCGTGGCGACGCCCCCGTCGCCACGCGTGCCCTCTGCGTGCCTGCGGGGACGCCGCCACGTAGAAGTACTGGAGACCGAGCATTTAGGGCGTCGCTACGCACGCCCTCTGCGTGGCTGCGACCATTTGTTAAAACCCTAAAACCACTTGAATTCACTAATAGAATACCCTGCCTCCCCCCCCCGTGTCCCTGTCCCACGTGCCCCCTCGAAGTCGAGCGCAAGCACTTCCCGCGACGTGGCGGCGCCCCTGAACCCCAAGAGTCCCAAGGCTCGCGCCGGGACTTTGGAGGCCTGGAGATTGGCACCAACACCAGCACAGGGGGTTGCCTCCACAGGGGGGAAGATGATCCTAGATTTCGGTGTTGGTGGAAATATTTCGGCCACCTTGGAAGCCAGAATATTACCACCATCACCGAGATCGGGATCTTCTTCCCTCGGTGGAGGCACACCGCCGACATTGGTGTTGGTGTCAACCTCTAGGCCTGCGAGAGCTGGCGACTGCAAGCACAAGCGACTGACCCCGTGGGCCGCGTTTCGCGCGTCGGCCAGCACTAACACTTGCGCTTGATTTCTAGGGGGAATGTATCCTGTCGTCCGGCCCGACAGAGTCGGGCCGGGCGAAAGGGGGGGATGGCAACAGGGGGGTCTGAGAATCAGCTCACGTAGCTGCTTTTCCTGGCGCCTCCCGGCGCCAGAGGCGGCTATATGCATCGAGGACTGGGCCCCTCGGTGGGGCCGAAACCAGCTTCGTGAAGCAGATTTCGTAACCCCCCCTTTCCCAATCCCCCCCCCGTCGTCCCGCCCGACAGAGGTCGCCTGCCAACCTTGCGATTGTGACCCCATGCTGTCCGCCGTCGTCCAGCAGGCGCCGGGCATGCTCGGGGGGCGCACGGCCGGGGGAGGGAGCTGTTCGAGACCCCGTCCGGAAGGGCACTGGGCCGTGCTTCGCTCCGTGTGGCCTCTGGCCTCCCTGCCTCCATTGCCGCAATGTGGGTCTCGTCGGCGGCGAGCGAGGGGGGGAAGCGAGAGGGAGAAGGCCTTCTCAGAAGGCGGCGGGACTTCTCAGAAGCCCGCGCGCCTTCTGAGAAGCTTTCTCTGTCTTCGGGGAGGGCTGAGAACACTTCTCAGAAGGCCCGGGGCCTTCCGAGCCTTGTGAGAAGGCCCGCCCCTTCTCACTTCTCCCCCGCGCTCGCCGCCGATGTTGTAGTCGTTCTATCCAATGCGAATCGGACACCCCTGGGGCGCTGTACTTTCGCTGTTGCAGGGGCCACCGCGTCGGCGAATTATCTCACCGACCTGTTGCGACCAACACGCGCTGACACCCAAACCGTAAGCCAGGCGAAGCCCCGACACCGAACAGCCCGACCGCATGAAGGCGAGGAACAATGCCGTCCGCGGAGTCACGACGGAGGAATTGGTGGAGAAACACTCTGCAGCATGCGGCGGAATCAAAGGCGAAGGCCGGAAGAACGTGGGCATCACCGAGCGAGCAATCGCTACATGACTACATGATCGAGGGCAATTTTCGTAGCAATCCAGTCGGTGACGATAGCCAAGCTCGAGCTAGTATGAACAACGTGAAGGGGATAGCGATGAGAAGCAACATTCATATAGGAAGGAAGAAGTGATAACCATACGGAACAACAAACACATCAGGGTCCACTGAAAAGAAGCTTGCTCCAATAGACACGTTGCAAGAAAGAGCTACCACGGCGAACCTTAGAAAGAACACAAGCGAACCCACTCTGTGGCGCACCCGCACTGTACCCGGTTCGATGAGGAACTGCACTGTGTGCGCACAACATTATTACAGGCCTCTGCCAGGAGAACTCAAACAAGCAAGCCACGCAAACCAATCGTCTGCTTCTTCTTTTCCAATAATTGCCTGTGTCCTTTCGCACGCCAGTGCAAAACACCCTGGATGACGCAGTTGTAACGCACATGGCACAATGATGTGGTCGCAAGAAGTCTCTGAAACGCTGCCGTTTGGAGAGTCGAGATGCAAACGCAGTGCTACACGCAGGATTTTGGACTGACATCTCAAGTTCACTAAAGGCACATGTGCACCCCAACACCCTGCCATGCAAAGAGCGTTGAACGTTGGTACGCCGATGCCGTAGGTGACGCCAACGAGCGCCCAGGAGACAATGATCGGCCAGAAGTCGTGAGCGAGAGCAGATGCGCCTTCCCTGACCCGCTGGCTTCCCCCTCCCCCTTCTCTTCTTCCTCCTCCTCGTTCTCCTCCTCCTCCTCCTCCTGCTCCTCCTCCTCCTCCTCCTCCTCTCCTCCTCCCCTCCCCCTCCGCTTGCCCATGCCCCGTCTACGCAGGACCCGTCCCCCCGGCCAGCTCAGCCCCGCAAGTGCTGTGAAACAAACAGTCACGACACTCGCTCGCGAGCCCTCCTCAAGCAATTACCCATCAAGCCCAGGTGTGGCGGAAATCGACTGACAGACGGCCACTGTTCTGCACTGCTTGCAATTCTCTTTTCGACAGACGACCGTCTGCTGCGTCCACCATGTGCCAAACATGATGCTGTTTGTACGGTGTGTGATGGGAGCAGTTACCCATCGAAGAACTACCACGAACAGCCCCCTGGTCAACCCCTAAACAAGTTTTTGGCCACCCCAAGTGCGCAGCGTGCGGTATCGTGCCTGGCATGGTACCTCAACTAGCTCGCCCAACAAAAATGGGGGCGAGGGGAGAGAGACACCAGCGGTCACAACCGTGCGCGAGTGAGAGCCGAGCATGTGGTCTCTCAAGGTTGGGCCACTGCTGCCATGGACGCACTGCCCAGCTGGAGTAATGGTTCCCCTGGCCCTCACAAGTGCCGAGACATGGGCGAAGCCCAGGTTTGCGAGGATCCCAAGCGCTCTTGACGCAAGAGTGGCCGACGGCGACTGGAACACATATGGAAGATACCCAGCACACCCAGATCCCCCCGTCTGGGGGTCGAGAGGGACAGGGAGAGGGGGTGCACGACGACAGGGTATCTCGCAGTCAAGTTCAACGATCTTGGGGCTGCCTTGGGGCTGACTTCGGGCCCTCGTCGGCCTTCCTGCGGGCATTCCGAAGCCCCTCTAGGGGCTCTCCTGAGCCGCGCCGTGGCCGTCTCGGGGGTCCTCGTGGGGCCCTTCGGGGTCGTCCTGGGCTGGTCTCAAGGACCCCTTGGCCCTTTCCGACGCTCTTGAACACATCAAGAAGCGAGCCTCCGAGGTGTCTCCTGAGCACCCTCTTCTTGGAGGCCCTCCTGGAGCGTGCTGGGGCCATCCTGTTGGCGTCCAGTGCCGTCCTGGAGGCATCTTGGGAGGATGCGCCCGTGGGGGTGGAGCGTCTGGGGGGGCACTGGTTTCATCAGGAACTGCAGGTGAGCCCCGCAATCGAATCGACCATTCGGACCAGCAATCGAAATGAATCGGATCGGCGGAAATCGGCAGCCAAATCGGGAGAAGTCGAATCCGCAGAGGTCGGCAGGTTGAGGAATCGGAGCCCGAATCGGAACCCGAAGCCGAATCGAATCGGAATCGGAGGCCATCGAAGTCGAGCCGAATCGAAGCGGGTGAATCGAAACGAGCCCTGGTGGGGTTGGAGCGCCGGGGGTAGACGAGCGCGTTCCACTACTCGCAAAATCACTGCCCGCAAATGGCCTCGATCCCCCGCGGGGGATCTACGGTACATTACATAAAAAGCAGGCATGTGTTTTTTCGGACGTTTGCGGGTATGCACTTTGCGAGGAGTGGAGCGCGCTCGGCGAGGGGCGGGCGGGGGCAGCGGTTGCATGAGGAGCTGGCGGCGCATGGTCCGCCTGCGGCGAGCGCCGCCGAGGAGGCGGCCCGCCAGCCTGCAGGGCCGCACGGGCGAGGAGGGCGGCACCGGCCTTGCTCCACGGAGGCTCCCTGGGCCTTGGCCCTCTTTGGGACAAGAAGACGGCAGCCCAAGATTTGCAGAGCGGCCGATTCTACCCGCGAGCAATGCCGAAAATTGGGCCCTCGAAGAATGCCAAGCTTGAACCCTCCAGCACTGCTACCAGTACGACAGCGCCAACACTGCAACCCTCCTCGACAGCAGAAGCAGCATGGTGATGTCGCTCGACGCGCAGAGCGCGGCCCGCGGGGTCAGACATTTTTTGTGCTCGCGGTCGCCACCTTCGGCGCGAACGTTGACAATGCTGGGGCCCCGGGGCGCCCTCACGTCGCGGGCACAAACTTGCGCTTGACTTCGAGAGGGGATGTAGGCAGGATTGGGAGGAGGAGGAGGAGGAGGAGGAGGAGGAGGAGGAGGAGGAGGAGGAGGAGGAGGGAGGAGGAGGAGGAGGAGGAGGAGGGAGGAGGAGAGGAGAGGAGGAGGAGGAGGGGGGGTGCAGGAGGAGGAGGAGGAGGAGGAGGAGGAGGAGAGGAGGAGGAGGAGGAGGAGGAGGAGGAGGAGGGAGGAGGGAGGGTGGGGGCGGCGGCAGTGCGGGCGAGGCGGAGGGCCGGCGGGAACCTTTCTGGGAAGCGCCCCCAAGAGGCGATCTGAGGTTCGGCCCGCCGAGCATCCATGGTCGGGGAGGCGTAGGACTCGGGTGCGCGGGACTCTCGGGGGTGGGCCTGCCGCGGCCATCACGACCACGACTGGGCCCCATCCGAGAGCTGCCGCGAGCTCCCCCTGCGGACATCCCACGGGAACTGGACCGTCAGGGATCCAGGGCGCGCTCGCCGAAGCACGCCTCGGCGGACCCGAGTTACGGCTTACGCGGGTCTCAGGCTTCCGCGACACGTGCTTGGGAGCGGCGGGTAATCTCCAGGCCCTGTCGCCGTCTACCGCTGCGCCACGCACGGCAGGGACCGCGCCGTTTTCCTCCCCCAGGCCGTGGGCCAAAAAGGGGGCGGCGGTGACTCGCCAGAGGCGTCTGTATTTGACGTTGGCCGTGCTATAAGCGAGGCTTGCAGCGTGCTGGTGGCAGCTGACGCCATGGAGAAATGCCGATTTGACGCAGTCGGGTGAGCCTCCTCCTTCTCCCCCTGCTGCTTTCTGACGCTGGCCAGGCTCTGAGCGTGATGCTCGCAGCGCTCGTGTGGCACATGTGCAGAAACATATGTACCGACTTAGCGCACTGCGGATTACATACGGCGCATTGGGTGGCAGGCCCGTGCGGAACAGTTCTCCCCCTGCTGCTTTCTGACGCTGGCCCGGCTCTGAGCGTGATGCTCGCAGCGCTCGTGTGGCACATGTGCAGAAAGATACTCCAGATTTCGTAATCAAACGGAGGGGGTCTCAACCCTCCCAGACGAGAAGTTTTAGACCCCCCCCCGTGGGAGAACCCTCCAAAACACCGTCCCCAGACCCCCCCAGGCCCTCCAAGATAGCCTGAAAGAGACCCCCCCCGAAATGAGACCCCCCTCCCTTTATTACGAAATCTGGAGTACATAAGGCGAATTGGGTGGCAGGCCCGTGCGGAACAGGAGAGGCAAAGGAGAATGGGGGCAAGCTGCGTGCTCAGACGGGCGCAGGGTAACGGTGCCTGCCGCCTGCTGCTGCTGCTGCTGCTGCTCCTCCTCCTCCTCCTCCTCCTCCGCCTCTTCCTCCTCCTTCTCCTCCTCATCCTCCTTCTCCTCCTCCATCAGCCTATTCCTCCTCCTCTTCCTCCTCACTCTCACCCCCCTCCTCCTCCTGCTCCTCCTACTCCAGCCTCTTTTCTGGCGCCAGACCGTATCAAAACCTTGACCGATTCAGCTTGCTCAAGCAAACAAAGAAAGACAGACAAAGAGCGAGAGGAAACACCATTAGGACCCGTGACGAAGAATCCCTTTACAAGAGGACTCCTTTTACGGAAGCATGTCTACACAATCATCCCGAAGAGTGCCTTACCGAAGAACGCCCCGAACGAACCCGAAATGAGGAATCCGTTTGAAGGATTCCTTGCTACCGAAGCGCCACCAAGGTGACTGACACACCTCCCAAAGGGTGCCGCACGACCGGGCGCGGACCACCAACCGCTGTAACAGAACATGTGCTGCGGGTCCGAGGGGCAGCAGCCACTGCAGGTAGCAAGTTATCCAGGGAGTGCTTTCAGGTTTTTGTGAATCTACCTGCACGAGCGCCCAGAAATCCACAAACTGGTTGTTTACAGTGTGTATGCTGGCCCTCTGAAATCAAATAAGTATGTACCTCACGGTGTTGGCTGACCCGTTGGCTTGACACTCGGCGCCACGAGCAAGAGGTATCGAGATCTGACTAACGAATCCTCACTTGAGAGCCCTTAGCACAGAACCTTCCTGAGGAGAACTTGACGGAGGATTCTTAGTAAAGAACCCTGCCTGGATCCGTTACGCAAGGAACAGAAGAGTCCTCACAATAGAAACCGTTACGCAGGATCATTTTACAACAAGACTCCTTCGCAAGGGGTCTCTACTGGAGAGTCTGTCAGAAAGGATCCCTAACGAACAAGAATTTCTGAAGAGCCCTTGAATGCAGAACCCTTAGTAAGGGTTCCTTACTAAGGAATCCCCACTAAGGAAACATTACATGGGAACCCGTACTCAGGAATCCCTTCTAAGGAATCCCTGCTACCTGGGCGCCACCAGGTTGAACGACAAAGCTCCCGACGGGTGCCGCACGAGCGCAACATGGGTTGCAAGCCGGAGGGCCAACAAACACTGCCAGTAACACGCTGCACACTCTGTTTCGAGTGTGTTTGTGGATCCATCTCTACTCGAGTCGGGCGCACGCTGACATGGTCAGGGGTACGCGGATCTGGCGCGCGGTCCCCAGATCCATGGATCGGAGGAGGAGGAGGAGGAGGAGGAGGAGGAGGAGGAGGAGGGGGAGGAGGAGGAGGAGGAGAGGGAAGGAGGAGGAGAGGGAAGGAGGAGGCAGCCCCGAGACGTTGCGCCAGTGCCGCCCGATCTGGTGGCGGGGCGCGCCGACTCCGCATGGGAGCGGGCCCCGTCGCTGCTCTGCGCGCCTTCGCCCCGGCGTTTGCGCTCACTCGGTTGAACGCGCGATGGTCCACGAAGCCGAGGAGGAGGAGGAGGAGGAGGAGGAGGAGGCGGAGGAGGAGGAGGAGGAAGGAGGAGGAGGAGGAGGAGGAGGAGGAGGAGGAGTTGACGAACCGGGGACGCTGGTGTTTGCTGTGCTCGCCGGCCCTGTGACCTGAACCCACGTCTCCTACAGTGCTCGCCTGCCCTTTGGCTGGACACGAGCCGCCACGAGCAAGACATGGGGGGTGGAATGCTCTCTCTCTCTCTCTCTCTCTTTCTCTTCTCCTCCCACACACCGAAACACTCAACACAGGCCTTTATTCGGTCTCCAGCCCCTCCTCTCGTCCTCCTCCCTCCCTCCCTCCCACCTCCCTCCCTGCCTTCCCTCCCTCCCCTCATCCTCATCCAGGTCTCCTCCTCCCTTCTGTCAGGAACTCTTCCGACAGCGAGCCGCCGCGCGCTGAGCGGGGCCCCTCCTGCGAAGAGCAGCATGCCGAGAATGGACAGCAGGATAGGCCCGCGCCGCCCGAAGCTGTCGTTCATGAAGCACGCGAGGTTGCCAAAGAGCATCCCCAGGAACACGACCTGGCCCCCCCTGATCCACGTCCTCCTTTGGATTTTCACTCCTCCTCCCTCCACCTCCCTCCTCCTCCTCCTCCTCCTCCTTCTCCTCCTCCTTCTCCTCACCCATCCTGCTCCTCCTGCTCCTGCACCCCCTCTGCCTCAACCGCCTCCTCTTCTTACCTCTTGCCACCTCCTCCCACCCCGCCCACTCCCTCCCGCCTCCGAACTCCACCTTCTCTTCCTCCTCCCCGCCTCCTCCCCTTTCTCTCCCACCTCACCCTGCACGTCCTTCCTGTCAACACCCTCCCCTCCTCGTCGGCGGCGTTTCCCGTCTCTTCGGGTAAACCCGCTACGGTCCTTCTTTGCCTCTCCATTGTACATGGTTCTGCCTAGTGCGTGCTGGTCGCTCTCACTTCGCCTGGTTAGCCTGAGTTTGGCGCCGCAATGGCGACTCACTCAGTTGTCATCGCACATGTAGATCGCGCCTCTCGGTTCGCTGCTGCGCCTACGTGCGTCGTCTGCGAATTTAGTTCATTTTGCACCGTGCATGTGCAACTGCGAGCATGCTTGCAGGTGCGGTCGGCTGTCGACAGTGACGGCTGGTTTCGCAAATTTGCAGTGCACCGCGCCCCGGACGTTGTGACCGCTCCCTGGGCTTTTCCTTGGAGCCGCCGAACAAAAAAGGGTACACCCGCTACGGGTCGCAGAAAGAAGCATCGGCGGGGAGGAGGCAAGCCTCTCCCCACCGCCGCGGGGCGACCACCACCGTCCTCTTGCCCCCCTTGGCGCGTGGCCGCGGCGAGCGCGCTTTTTTCCGCCTCGCGCCTCGCGCCCGCGCCTGCGAATCGCTGTGGGGAGAACGCCCTGGGATTATAGGGGAACAAAAAGTGGCATAAACATAAAAACTCGGAGGTCCGCGCGGATTCCTCGGATCGGCGCTGGACACCCTCCCTGGCGCGCGGGGCGCGCCAGGGGCGGCGCCGGAGGCGCCGCCGGGGGGACCCAGCGCGGATCCGAGAAATCCGCGCGGACCTCCGAGTTTTGATGCTTATGTCACTCTTCACTCCCCTTAGGGATGGCGCGAAGCCACCTCCTCCTCCTCCTCCTCCTCCTCCTCCTCCTCCTCCTCCTCCTTCTGCGCGCTCCGCATTTCGACAACTGCCGCGGGGCTGCTCCCTGCGGGCGCTTCGCCGCGCATGCCGCGCGTCGTGGCGCCCGTGCTTGCGACCCGCCAACAGAGCTCGAGGGCGCGGAGGGAACGGGAAGAGGCCCCAGCCAGTAGTCTGAGGTCGGGCATGTCTAGGGGGCAAACGAACCTACCTCGCTTTTGACCACCCTGGCTTCCAAGAGCTGCCAAGCGATGCCGAACTACGGCCCGCACTGGTCAGGCCGCTCGACGGGGAGTCGCGGGGTATGACATGGTTTTGCTTGGAAGCGAAAACGGGGTAGGTAATTCACGCTCTGAATGTCCCCCTACAGGCGGAGCTTGGACGAAACGTTAACATGTGTAAAACATATACCCTAAAGATAAGAGAGAAATCGTTCCCAGACTATTTTTGTCTATGTTTGAATATTCCTCCTGTAGAGGGACACGCCCGACTGAGCACCAACGAGCTGCTTCAAGTCCTCGGGGCAGCACCCGAGCCCCCACGACTCCTTCCTGAGCAGCTCGCGCCCCTCGACTTTACCGGAGTCCGTCGCCGACACCGAGCCCCACCGGCCACGCGACCGTCTGGTCCACGCGGTGCTGAGACAAGCTCAATGGCGCTCCTGCTCCTGAGCTTCCCAGTTCCCGCAATCGTCTCCAGGCCCAGGCTCTGCAGGTCTTTCGCATCCTGGGTGTCCCTGATCTCTTTGATCATCTGCTTGTGGTGGTCTGGCTCGAGACGTGTATGGCCGTGCGCCATGCCATGCGCCATGCGGATTGCACCTCGCGCCGAAGCACTGGCAATACCAGCGCTGCCCAACATGTCTCGCAGCTGTTCTTTCAGCACGCGAGCGCGCGTCGAATGGCCTGACGAGATGATGAAGCAGCCGTCCTCGACGCAGCATCTGCGGTACACTACCAGAGAGACGCCTTGCTGCTTCGGGGACCGGCCGATGCTGCCCACAAATTCACCCACCGCCCACTGCTTCTGATGGTTGCAGGTGTTGGGAACCTGCTAATTTCGGCGGTGGACAAACCTCCTTTTAATAAACCTCCCTTTAGTGAAAAAGGCCTGGGACCGAAACCGACGGACCTAGACCCGCAAAAACGGCCGCGACGCCCTCTCGTGAGCCGAAAACGGCCAATTCCTGAATCGACGTGTCAGGGTAGGAAGGCTATCAACCTCCGATAATTCCGAGCGCATCATGTTCCGCATCCGGCATGCCCATCAGCTCCTTCTCAGCACTTCTCGCCGTCGGCTGCACAGCTCGAGGAACTGGCCCGGCCCGTCGCCCCGAGCCTCGCGCGCTCCCTGCCGGTGTGCCTCGCCGCGAGGAGAGAGGCCACGAGGGCGATGACGTGGACCGTCTTCGTGTCCAGTGTTAGGTCGGGCCTGTCCCCCATACAAGGGGGATTTTCGGCGAAAAACAAAAGAAATACCTCCAAAAATAATCAAAACATCGTGCAACAATAGTCTGGGGACTATTTTGTTTTTGTATGTTTTACCTTTTTGGGGTACTTTTGGGAGTATGTCCCTACCTAGGCTCTGCCTAGAAGGGTTCTTACTATTAGGCTTAAAGGGCCGGGCAGTGGAACCCGCCCCGGGCGGTTCCCCCGGCATCCGCCCCGCGGTTCCCCCAGTGACGTTCCCTTAGCTTCGCATTGCTTATCTCATCTTCGCTTACCTTATTTCATCTCAGCTCAACTTCATCTTAGCTTAGCTTAGCTTAGCTTCACATAAGTGTTTGATGTTGCTTTCCTAGATCCTCCAACTGTGAGGATCTTCATTTTTCGTTGAAAATCCCCCTGTAGAGGGGGACACGCCCGACATCAGTCCTGTGCGCGGATGCGCGCACAGCGGTGCACCATCCCCCCGATGCCTGCGGGGGCGCACGCCTCGGCGGTGTCCTGGGCCCGGCCCGGAGCGTGCCGCCTCGCGCGGCCGGGCATCAGGGGGCCCGCGGGCGCGCGCCGCGCCGCCTCCCTTGGCGCACAGCGCGGCGTGCTCGCCGCCCGGCGGTGTGCAGCCCCGCCTGCGCCTCTGGAGTCGGCCCTCTCCCTCTCGTCCCCCTCGTCCTCCTTCTCGTCCTCCTTCTCGCCCTCCTTCTCGTCCCCCTTCTCGTCCTCCTTCTCGTCCCCCTCGTCCCCCTCTTCTCGTCCCCCTCGTCCCCCTCGCCCCCCTCGCCCCCCTCGTCCCCCTCTTCTCGTCCCCCTCGTCCCCTTCGTCCCCCTCTCGTCCTCCTCGTCCCCTTTTCTCCGTCACCCCCGCCACGGGAGGCCCCTGCCCCGCGGTCACTCCAAGCAGCGCCTCCCAGGGTGCGCGCTCGGGCCCGGCACGGAGCAGCAGCTCCCAGAAAAGGAGGCCGCCTCACTGAGCGCCTTGACCTGGCCATTGGCCTCTTCATTCCTACGACGATCCTCCTAGCCGTCTCCCCCCCCCCTCCTCCTCCTCCTCCTACTCCTCCTCCTTCGCCTTCTCGGTCTCCATCGCTTTCCCTCCGCTCTCCGTCTCCTCCCCGTCATCTGCCACCCTCGCCTTTCCTGCTCCTGCTCCCCCCGTCTCTGTCTTCTTCTTCTTCGCACTCATCTTCCCCCCCCCTCGCTTCCTCAACCCGCCCTCGCCCTCGCCCTCGCCCTCTTCCTCGCGGCTGCAAGCAAGAGCGAGTGACCCCAGGCTGGCGTGACCCTTGACCCTTGGTGCGCGGCGTAAGGAGGCCGCGGGAAGGAAAAAGCGAAAGCGCACTCACAAATGCTGAAGGGAGCCATGTGGGCCCACGATGTCACTACAGCGAAGTGTAGTTGTTGTGCGTAGCCGATTCCTCTTCTTCTGGACGCCCGAAATGTGTATGGAACAAACTGGCACAATACGTAACAACACATGTTGTCCAAAACCGACAGCGGCCGCTGCTGGGCAGGCGGCTCTATGTCTTCAGCGAACAACGTCTGCCGGCGGCGCGGACAGCGAGCCTGGCTCAAAATGAACAGGAACTGCTGTTGGGCATCGTACCCATTCTTTCCGTGCCCATGTCGATCGTCGAGCCCTGACCCTCCCCGTTCTCCTCTCGCCCGGCAGGCGGCGGCACAACGACCGCCCCCCCCCAGGAGCGCCCCACCGAGCCCAGCGCTGCTCTCTGGTACGGCTTCAGGCCGAGCTCCAGGGCGATCGCCACGGGGAAGGTGGAGATGAAAAATCCGCCCCCCCACCCACACACACATACACACACACACGCCGCACACACGCCGCACACACGCACACACACACGCACACACGCACACACACACACACACACGCCGCACACACGCCGCACACACATACACACATACACACACACACGCACACACACACACGCCGCACACACACACACACACACATACTGACTAATATTTTTCCTGTTAGGACCAGATGGCTGCGGAGTGCAACATGTCTCGCTATCCTACCTCCCTGCTGTGCTACTCTGCTCTAACCTACATGCTACTCTGCTCTGCCCTACATCAGTGCACTAAGATACATCAAGTGTGTTATGCACCTCAACACCCCTTCTCGCGGACGTCGCCAAGCCCTCGCTTGATGAGACCGCGCCCTGTCAGGTAGTGGAGTGTGGGTTCCACGGCGGGGCTCCCCGCACGGTGGTTCACATGGGCCTGCCCTCGCACTCTCATAGACGGAACTACCCGCACTACGCGTAGCACAGCGGGGGCGGAGCTACCCGCTTCGCCTTCCGGCGCGGTGCTCCCCGCAGCCGCTGACCCAAGCCATCCGGCTACTGTGCCGTGGAGGTTACGCATCCCTCGCCACTTCAATGGCGAGCTTGCTCTGGCCACTCCGGAGCTCGAAACCGAGGTCTGCCAGATGCTGCCACATCGTCTTCCCGTCGA